GGGGGAGGAATGTGGAATACAAAAAAAGTGTAGATTCCACAAATACTTGCCAAGTGCAGTCCTTTAAGCTAGACGGCCTTGGAAATAGATGATAAACAAGCTTGTGCTGAAGAATTGCTTTGTCTAAAAGGATGCCAGTATTCTGATACTTGTGCTGTAGCAGTTAATCACTGCCCTACAGGAGGACATAGGTCACAGTGTCAGGACATCAGGGAAGGGTTTTGTTTTTAATTTTGTAATGTTTATTTTACACATGTGTGCATGGGCACACTATGGTATAAGTGTAGAGGTCAGAGGAGAACTTGCTCTGGTTCTTCTCTTCTATCATGTGAGTTTTGGTTGGAATCGGGTTGTCAGCCTTGGTGGCAAGTGAGCCATTGGTGGCACACCTTTACTCCCAGTATCCAGAAGGCTGAGACAACCAGATCTCTGTGAGTTTGGTCTACAAATCAAGTTCCAGGACAGCCAAGACTGTTACAAAGAGAAACCCTGTCTCAAAAGAAAAAAGGTCAGCCGGGTGGTGGTGGCGCACGCCTTTAATCCCAGCACTAGGGAGGCAGAAGCAGGTGGGTCTCTCTGAGTTCGAGACCAGCCTGGTCTACAAGAGCTAGTTCCAGGACAGCCTCCAAAGCTACAGAGAAACCCTGTCTCCACAAACTAAAACAAACAAACAAAGAAAGGAAAGGAAAGGAAAGGAAAGGAAAGGAAAGGAAAGGAAAGGAAAAAAAGGTCTCATTATATAGACCAGGCTGACCTCCAAATCACAGAGATCCACTTGGTGCTGCGTTCTAAGTGTTGGGATTAAAGTTGTGAAACACCATGCCCAGCCCCTTTAAAGAAACAAAACAAAGACAAAAAAAAAAAACTTTGGACAGGTACACTGGTACGCACCTTTCATTTCAGCCTTTGAGAGGCATAGGCAGGTAGATCTCTGATTTCAAGGCTAACCTAGTCTGCATAGCAAGTTCTACAACAGCCAAGGATAAATAGATGGAACCTATCTTACAGTTTTTGTTAGTTTTTTTGAGACAGGGTTTCTCTGTATAGTACTGGCTGTCCTGGAACTCACCTTAGACCAGGCTGGCCTGGGAGTCACAGAGATCCACCTGCCTCTGCCTCTGCCTCTGCCTCCCAAGTCCTGGGATTAAAGAAGTGCAGCACCACCGCACACCTTCAACAATTTTAAGATTTGCTTTTAGTCTGGCAAGGGTGGTGAGAAACCCTGCCACAATAAATAAATAAATAAATACTTTTAGTTTTCATGTATGAATGTCAATGTTCATGTATGTGTATGTACTGTGTGCAGGCCTGGTGCCTCCTAGGGTCCAAAAGAGGGCATCACAGTCTCTGGAACTGGAATTACAGGAAGTTGTGAGCTGACAAGATGATGCTAAGAGCCAAACACAGGTCTTCTATGATAACAGCAAGTGCTCTTAACTGCTTAGCCATCTTTCCAGCACAAACGATTTATTATTATTTATTCACTATGTGTGTCCACGTTTCCATGAAGTCCAGAGAGGGAGGGTATTGGATGCCCTACAGCTGGAGTTACAATCAATTGTGAGCTAGGAGATAAATTTGTGTCTTTGGTAAGAGCAGAAAGTGTTCTTACATGCTCCAATGACCAGTGTTTAAATTTTTAACTGACTTTAAATTTTTATTTAGATTTTGTATTTATTTTATGTCTGTGAGTGTTTTGCCTGAATGTATGATTGTGCACCACGTGAGTTCGGTGCCTGAGGAGGCCAGAAGAAGGTGTTGAATACCCTGGTATTGGAGATATGGACCACTGGCCAACTGCCAAGTGGGTGCTGGGAATTAAGCCTTGGTCTTTTGGAGAAGCAGGTGATCCATTGCTCCACCCTTAATTGGCTTCCAGTAGCAAACACAGTGTCATGGTTGGTTTGGAACAAATCTAGACATACCTGGGAAAAAATCTAGCTTAAGAAAATCTCTCAGTAAGATTGGCCTGTAAGCAACTCTGTAGAGCATTTTTTAAAAATAATTGATGTAGAGGGCTGGAAAGATGCCTCAGAGGTTAAGAGCACTAGCTGCACTTCCAGAGGTCGTGAGTTCAATTCCCAGCAAATACATGGTGGGCTCACAACCATCTACAGTGAGAGCTGGTGCCCTCTTCTAGCCTGTAGGCAGAACACTACATAATAAATACATAAGTCTTTTTTTTTAATTGATGTAGAAGGACCTAGCCCATGTGGGCAGTACTGCCCCTAGGCAGGTGGTCCGGGGTTGCATGAGAAAACAGGCAGAAGAAGCCTGTACTCTTCCATGGCCTCTGTTTTGGGTCCTTCCTCCAGGTTCCTGCCTTGATTTTTATTGTTTTCATTTTGTGTCTGTGAGTGTTGGTATATTTACCATGTATGTACCTGGTCTCCACCAGGTCTGAAGAAGGTGTCAGATTCCCTGGAACTGGAGTTATGGATGGTTGTGAGCCACCATATTTGGGTCCTCTAGGAAGAACAGCCAGTGCTAACTGCTGAGCCATCCCTCCAGCCCCCTTAGGTTCTTGTCCTGACTTCCCTTCATGATGGACTGTGATTAGAACTTGTAAGCTGAAATCCTTCCTCCCCAAGTGGCTTCTGGTCTCTGTCACAGCAGTGGAAACTCTAGGACAGCTATGTGGCTGAGGGTAAGGAACTCCTGATCCACCTACATTGGCTACCTTCTGTTCTCCACTGCACTCCTCACAGAGGAGCTGACTACAAGATAGGAGTTGATATGTCTAAGTATCTCAGGATGAGGCCTGGGGGGTTGGAAATAGATTCCTTAGTCCAGAAGGGGAGACAGAGGACAGAAGGTGAAGAGAATTGGTCTCTATCTTCCTACAGATCAGCAGCTTCCAAATGACAAATTATCTATTCAAAATGCATCGTGCAGGATGAACTCCATGCTTGTAATCCTAGCACTCAGGATTTCAAGGCCATCTATTTTGTTCATTTGTTTGTTTGGGTTTTTGAGGCAGGGCTTCTCTGTGTATAGCTAGTCCTGACTGTCTTGGAACTTGCTTTGTAAACCAGATTGGCCTCGAACTCAGAGGTTCGAATGCATCTAACTCTGGAGGGCTGGGACTAAAGGTGTGCACCACCACTGCCAGATCTTAGGCCATCCATCTTTTTTGTTTGTTTTTGTTTTTCCAGACAGGGATTCTCAGAAGCTTTGGAGGCTGTCCTGGAACTCACTCTGTAGACCAGGCTGGTCTCAAACTCACAGAGATCCACCTGCCTCTGCCTCCCGAGTGCTGGGATTAAAGGCATGTGCCACCACTGCCCAGTTGGGCCATCTATCTCAACATAGCAAATTCGAAGCCTGCTTGGCTACATGTGACTGTCTCAATGGAAAAATAGAAATAGGGATATATCTCAATTGATAGAGGTCAGTTGTGTGCTTGCCTAGCATGTTTGAGTGTTTTATTACTGGGGTTTTTTATTACTTTTATTTTAAAGGTTTTTATATGTATGGGTGTTTTGCTTGCATGTATATCTAGTGTCTGATGAGGCCAGAAGACAGCTTTGACACACCTTCCCTTCCCATGCAGGGTAGATAGCCTCCATGTGGGTGCTAGGAATCTAACTCAGGTCCTCTGGAAAAGCAGCCAGTGCTCCTAACTGCTGAGCATCTCTCTAGCCGTGGAGGCCCTGGTTTTGGTCCCACCACCACATAAACCTGGTGTGGTGGTACATGACTAATCCCAGCATTGGGAAGCTGGAGGAGAAAACGTTCAAGGTCAGTCTTCTATGAAGTGAGTTTGAGCCCAAGACTGAGCTACATTAGATTCTATCAAGATGAAGTGGGGGTGGAGAGATGGCTCAGAGATTAAGAGCACTGACTGCTCTTCCAGAGATCCTGAGTTCAATTCCCAGCAACCACGTGATGGCTCATAACCATCTGTAATGGGATCTGATGCCCTCTTCTGACATGCAGACAGAACACTGTATATATAATAAATAAAATAATAAAAAAAAGATTGAGGGGAGGGATAAAAAGGGGCCTTTGTGTGTCTGGCAAAGATTGAGGGGACACAAAACTGGAAAAGTGCTGGGCTGGCAAGATGGATGAGCAGGTCAAAGGACTTGCCACAGTGAAAGACAGAACTGAATGTTCAAAAGTCCTCTGACTTCTACTTGGTGTGCTGTGGCATGTGCCTACACACACACACACACACACAGAGAGAGAGAGAGAGAGAGAGAGAGAGAGAGAGAGAGAGAGAGTTAATAATACAGGTGTGAATGTCCACCTCTGTTCCCCAGAAAATACTAACTCACTGAGGAAAATGATCCTCTGGGATCCACTCTTGGTTATGGATAAGTGTACCGAGGAACCAGGGAGACCCGAGGACCACAGAAGAGGGAGGCTTTGATTGTATGCCCAAAGGGCTTGGATGGCCTTGAGCAAAAATTGGAACTCAGACTTCCTGGATGACAGCAGAGGGCATGGCCTGCCAGAGTTGACTTTGGGAGCAAAGACTAGCAGAGGAAGACAGCTTGGTTCCTAATTTAGACTCGGAGGTAGAAGGATGCTTATCCAGACAGCTAGGACTGTAAAGCTGCAAGGATTTCCTAAGCAGGTGCCTGCATGGTTTCCAGGATGGGACACACTTCAGTGGAGTAAGGGAACAGTGGCGACCGCTAGATCCCCCGCCCGGGTGGGAGGGGGCGGGACAGTCCTGGGAGAAGGGCGGGGGGCGGGGCCGAGGACCACTTAAGGCGGAGTCAGGGCCGTTCTGGGAGCACGGGAGCCTGGCAGCAGAGGCTGGCTGGGCCGGCACTCACCCTCCTTCCACCTGCCCTGTAATGGTAACCTATCAGTAGTAGGTTCCAGGTTGCCTGGGGCATGTAGGCAGAGTTAGCGGCTGCCAGGTGTTCGGAGCCATAAGCGCTCCAGGTACTCTGGGGGCTTCTCTATCTGCGGTGCTGTCTCCCGTGGAGATGCCCAACTGACAGGAGAGCTAGTGAGGACCCTTTCGACACAACTCCACTGCGCCCATGGCTCTGCCGGCCAGTCTGTTGCCCCTGTTCTGCTTGGCAATCCTGGCACTGTCTGTCCAGAGCTGCGGACCGGGCCGGGGACCGGTTGGCCGGCGGCGTTACGTGCGCAAGCAGCTTGTGCCTCTGCTGTACAAGCAGTTTGTGCCTAGTGTGCCCGAACGGACCCTTGGCGCGAGCGGGCCAGCGGAGGGGAGGATAGCAAGGGGGTCCGAGCGCTTCCGGGACCTCGTACCCAACTACAACCCCGACATAATCTTCAAGGATGAGGAGAACAGCGGGGCTGACCGCCTGATGACAGAGGTAAGGAGCGCGCTTCTCCCCACCTGCTCTTGTGCACACCACCAGCTCCAGTTTTCCTACCACAGCCCTGGAGGATGAACTGTCACTTCATAAACAAAAATAAGACCTCTTTCACCACATCCTTCAAGAAAGCAGATCACCTGCGGGCTGGTAGTGGTTTGGAAGTATCCAAACGAGGAGAGGCTGGGATGGGGAGGGGGAGGAGAAACTGGCTAGTGAGAGTGGATCTGGGAGAGGCTGGAGGGAGGGCGGGGAAAGGAGGATGGCGGCAGGCGAGACGGGAAATGGCTGAGGCGTGGACCGGGGGTCAGCTACCGAGCCAGGCAGGAAGGGCTGGGGTGAGCTGGGGGCCAGGAGCTGGCTAGTGTAGGTAGCCTACAGAAGGCTTTACACTTAGCCTGGCTCTTGGCCTGATGTCCAAAAGCTCTATGAGCCAAAAAGAAGGGGGCTGGAAAAGGGATGGGCAAGAGTCAGGTTACCAGGCCATCCATCTGAGAATGGGGTGGTCAGGAATTGTCCTTGGCATGAGAGAGATGTCCTAACCAGGACAGGCCTGTATTAGGGTCTAAACAACAGACTGGGTAAAAAGCAGTCCTCAGACAGATGAACTCATCTGAGAATCGAAGGGTTCCTGGGCTGTGGAAACAGCTTAGCTCTAGAACTTTGCTTCTGATAAATAATTAAATTCAACTACCATTATCAAGCACCTGTTACAGATGGGAACTGAACCTACCTGGAATAAGGTGGGCCTGACTTGGAAAAGAAGGATCCCCTCTGTCAGTGTTCTGGGGTGTCAGAACTGAAAGGAAATTCAGAAGACATATTTCTCCACCTTCACCCCACTCCTCACTTTATATCTTAGAGTTGGGCCCCCGGGGAGGAAAAAGCAATTTAATCAGGGCCTCACAGCTAATTAGTGGCGTTGCTGAGACTAGAATTCAGGACTCAGATTCCCGAGTCCTATATACTTTCCATTACACCACCTAATTGTGTGTGCAGTGGGAGGTGGGGGAGAGGGAGGGGGTACGGATTTCCTCTAACTAACTGCCATAGCTTTCCAGGTTACTTTGTTAGGAAAACCTGTACAGGGAAGAAAGTTGTTTTGTTTTGTTTTTGTTTTGAGACCCTGACAGGCCTGAAACTTGCTATGTAGAACTCACAGAAATCCTCCTGTCTCTACCTCCAGCTTGCTGGGATGAAAGGTGAGAACTAATCACCCCCGGGCCAAGAATTCCTTCTTGCTCCAGTGACGAAGTTGTCCTCTTTCCAGAAACTGGGAAGGGCATTCCTTTCCCACCTTGGTCATGGAACATTATGGTCCTTCCCTTTGGTGGAAACCTGCAGCAGAGGAATAGAACAAGCAATAGGCTCAGGAGGCCTCAAAAGGCCCGCGAACCCCACCCCCCTCAACACACACACACACACACACACACACACACACACACACCCAATCTTGCTTATCTCCCACACCCTGGCTGCAAAAGGACTCTATTGAGTTGGCTCTGTACTGGGCTACTGCCCCCGCAGGTCAGGGCCTTCTTAGGGACACAACGACACAAAGTTGGAAAGAGCTACCACTTGTCCTGCGCCTCTTCAGAGGTGCAGTTGACTAGAAAAGAGGGTAGGGGGAATCCCCCTCCAGCAATCATGTAGAATCCAAGTTCGAGTTGACCGATGAGAAGGGACAAAGAAAAAGAAGTTTTGCTCGAGCTCCTCTTGCGCTCCGGCTCCCGTGGTGTCGCATCTCTGGTGCGCGCCAAGGTCTCCAACTCCCAGACCGGAGCCGCCAAGATAACTGTGGCCTCCCTCCCCCGGGGGTGCAGGCCTGCGTTTGTGGCTCCTTTTCCTCCACTCCCACCCAGCGCGGGGAGGTGGGGGTAGCTCCTGCCATTCTCAGGTGCTGTGCTCCTCCCACGCCTTTCAGGGCTGATTCTGGAACAGAGATGGGAGATGGGGGCTCTCAGGACTGACACAGTGGCAGGCTGGCCACGCTGGGGGAGGGGACCTGGCGGGCGGGAGCAGGGATGTGGGGCGCGGCGTTCTGCCCTTTCCTCTCCCTGAGCTGGGGCGGCTGAAAAGCGCCTTTGTAGCTGGAGCTGCTGAGTCCGCTTCTCCCGACGCGTTCCCGGCCTCGGCCCGAGATTCTCGCTTAGTTAAGTCATCCCGGAGAATGGCCATTGTACTGCATGCGGCCCCCGCCACCCAACCCTTTTTCCAGCAGCCTTGATCCCACGCGCCTCCTCTTGGGCACCTCTGTAGGGGCGCACGCAGACCACCAATGGGTTAATGCTAGAGGCTGAAAGGAGGAGGAGGAGGAAGGAAGGAAGGAAGGAAGCGATGCCCAGTGCCAGGGAAGGCAACCAAACAAAAGATGAATCAGACAGAGGGAGGGCAGCTGGGGCCCGGGGCGGGGGTCAGGCTTAAATAGGGCTCGATTCGGGGAGCCAGGCCCTCCCTAACCATACTTCCATTCTCCCTCTCTACTATGGTTCTTTCTCTGATTGGACTGAGGTCCTGGAACAAATAGGGGGTGAGAGGCAGTCACTGAAAATGGGGGAAATAAGTAGGTATGGGGACCCCCCTCTTAACCTCAGAGGGGCTAACTCCATGGTTCAGTTCTGAAAGCATGCAAGCATGCCCTGGCAATGAAGTACATTGGTGACTATACCTATTCAAATCCTCGATTCCCCACGACACTTAAAAGCTGCGAGGTAATGAAGTTGGTCCAGAGAATAAAGATGCATTGATTGATGCCTTAAGGGTCCCTTTCACCTCACCCTTCCCACCCATCGCCTGCCTGGTGATGGTAGTGGTAGTGGGGAAACTGTGTCCTTTATCCTTCCACCCCCACTAGCGTTGCAAAGAGCGGGTGAACGCTCTAGCCATTGCGGTGATGAACATGTGGCCCGGAGTGCGCCTACGTGTGACTGAAGGCTGGGATGAGGACGGCCACCATGCTCAGGACTCACTCCACTACGAAGGCCGTGCCTTGGACATCACCACGTCTGACCGTGACCGAAATAAGTATGGTTTGCTGGCGCGCCTAGCTGTGGAAGCCGGCTTCGACTGGGTCTACTACGAGTCCCGAAACCACGTACACGTGTCGGTCAAAGCTGGTACGGTAGAGAACAGATGGAGGTTCATCCAAGGGGGCTCTCTCTGGGAAACTGAGTCTACTACAGCGTTATTGCTACCCTCAGGGGACCAAAAGGGCATCAGTGTTGTAAAACACCTTTCCATTTCCTCCAGGTGGGACTAGATCCCTGGGAAATTGAACTGTTCCGGGACTGGTGAGGTCTGCGTTGGGCTTGAGAATCTGTACTTGCTGATCTGGCCTTAATTTCTTTGTGGTTGCGGCTTGCAGATAACTCGCTGGCGGTCCGAGCTGGAGGCTGCTTTCCGGGAAATGCCACGGTGCGCCTGCGGAGCGGCGAGCGGAAGGGTCTGAGGGAACTCCATCGTGGTGACTGGGTGCTGGCCGCGGATGCAGCGGGCCGTGTAGTTCCCACGCCGGTGCTACTCTTCCTGGACCGGGACCTGCAGCGCCGAGCTTCTTTCGTGGCTGTGGAGACTGAGCGGCCTCCTCGCAAACTGTTGCTCACACCCTGGCATCTGGTGTTTGCGGCTCGCGGGCCAGCGCCGGCTCCAGGTGACTTTGCCCCGGTGTTCGCGCGCCGGTTACGCGCTGGGGACTCGGTGCTGGCTCCCGGCGGGGGCGCGCTCCCGCGGGCGCCGCGGGG